TTTTGACCATGTTTTTCTATATTATTTCCTATATTATTAAATTCTTTATTAGATTTATTTTCATTTTTTAAATCATTATCCATTATAATATATGTTTTATTACCTTTATCATCTTCATTAATTCTATACAGTTTTTTCGCTTTTATATCACTATCTTTTAATACATCTTTTAGAAAAACTGTACAAAGTTTGATTTCTGCAAGATTTTGTTGTTTTTGTTTTTCAGTTTCATTCTTATGTATATTCATGTTTTTCCAACAATTTTTACATACAATATTTCCTGTTTCATGAATCTTATACATATCATCATCAGTTTTAATAGAATCATGACATTTGTTACAAGATTTTGATATTGTTTTTTTATTTAATTGATTTTGAGACCGTGTACGAGTCATATTGTCAGAATCAGTTTCCGATTCCCGTAATATGGATAAATTTACTCTTTTAGATTCAGTAATAGTAGTTTTGCGACTTATGACAGTTGTTTTTACCTATAAATAAACAAAATAAAAATATCATGAATAATATAAATTTAATATAATATAATTAATAAATTGATTTAATATTATAAAATACTTGTTTTTCTTGATTGAATATATCAAAAAGCAATAAAGATATAAAAAAAATATTTTTATAAAAGTTTTTTGCTATAATATGAAAATAAATTTTATATAAATGAAAGTTTTTTTCATAGATTTTAAAATCACTTTTATTTTTTTTTATTTTTAAATGGCATGACTATACTTTTTATTTGTTAAGTAAAATAAGATATTTAAACAATTTCAATGAATACAAATCATTTATATATTTATATATATTTATTTAATAAATAGAAAAATAAAAAATAAATTTTATTTTGTAATAGATATAGATATTAATTAAACTTGAATATGAATCTTAAAAGTAGATCATGAAATCTCTAAAATCTTCCACTTACATAAAAAAAATTATTCCCATATTATGATTTCTTTTATCAAAATATTTTCTTAATATATTTATCATTGTAAAATATTTAATTAAATAAAACGGATATTATATATAACAAATCCAAATAAAATAAATATTATATATATAATAAAACATTACCTTATGAAAAATCAAATTATTTGCTTCCTTATTATTTGTATTATCGAATTTTATACTATTTGTAGTTTCTTCACATATGTGTTGTAAATCCAACAACAGATCTATTGTGTATCGACAAGATAAACATATAAATTTAAACTCTTCCCAAAATTTTTCAAACTGTCAAAAGATATAATTAAAAGATAAAAAAAATAATCATAATATATTACAATTAATAAACCACTATATTATTATTTCATACTTCATGATTGAAAAGCTTTCGTATTTTTAAAAATATACTTTGTTGCAAGCTTTTCTCTTTAACAAGATCAAAAATAAATTCGTTTTTTGCAGGTTCCCGACATAAATTGCAGCACTGTTTGCGGACATTTGTTTTTTGCTTTGTATTTCGTTTAAATTTTTTTATAAAAGCACTACATTGATTTAATTCATATGCACATTTGTGACAAATTCTGGTTGGCAATTCATTTGCTTTTGGTACCTATGTAAGTATGAATATTTAATGTAACTAAAATATATAAGAATAAAGTAAAGTTTGTTTAATTTAATAATTAAACAAATATATATATGTATATATAAAATATATATATATATATATATATTATAAAAAATATAATATAACAAAATATAAAAAATTATATAATAATATATTTAAAATTCTAATTTGCAATTATTACTACTAGTATTTAGTACTTAAAATATTTTAATAATTATATTTAATTTGTGATAAATTTTTTTTTTATATTAGGAATAAATATTTTCATAAAATCAATATCATTTTTGAATATAACTTTTAATCTAAAATAAATATACTGAAGATTATAATATTTATATAATATAGATTTATATAAATACATAATAACATAACATTGTAAAAAATTTAATACATAATAAAATTTATAAATTTTATAAAAAATATAGAAAATTTTAATTTATTATATAGTATAAAATTATTTATATTTTGATAAATAGAATAATGTATAAATTTTTAAATTATACACAAAATAGTCTCAATTTCATATTATAATAATATAAATTTTTTGTATAAAATAATTAAACGTTTTACTTAACCTCAATTGTATTTGTAAATTAATAACTTTAAAAAATTAATATTACAATATGATTTTTTGCAATAGATTGGTTAACAATAACAATAGATTTTTTATTATGTTTAAATATAATTATTGACAAATTAACTTAAAAATATCTCTTCGTATATTTACGTTATTTAATGTGCAAATATCGACGCACGTTCAGATTTGCTCCAGAAAATTTAATCAGATTTGAATATTCACTAGCAAATTAGTGATTTTAAGCACGCATTTTTTTATGTAAAACTACCTTAACAAGTGAGCAGATCTCAAATTGATCATAATATACTTGTTTATTATCCTCCGTAATATCCAAGAAAACACCACCATCACTTGCGCAAAGAAAACAGTATTGTTGTGACATATTAATATATAAAAATAAATGAACAAAAATGGATTATGTAAAAAATAAATACGTAATCATTAATTTCAAAAAAAAATATTAATTTTTAAGAATTCACAAAGTAACAAAATTTAGAGAAATGTAATACATTGGCGGCAACCATACTCGAATTAAGATGGCGTACGATGTAGATGCGTCGTCGTCACATTATCAGCATTTAAATAATATACACGTATTCAACTGCAACATTTTAAATTTAAAGTATAAAATATATAATTAATGACATAATTAAATATTATATCAATTATTTTCTATTGTTTATTAATTAAGATATTCTAAATATAAATAATTTTTTCATAATATTTTTTTTATTAATTTTATGATTTTAAATATACATAATGATTTTATTTCATCAAGAATGTGCGAACGTAAATATATATTTTGGTCAAGTTATTTATTTTATAATTATAAATTTTAAAAATATGTCTATCAAAAAAACATCAATATTTTCATACTTCAAATTATTGTTCACGTTGGGATTGAGACCACTTTTGTAGTTGTGAAAGTGAAAATAGATCAAATATAGATTGATTCTGTTCATGAAATTCTTCAATACGAATTTTTATGTCATCTAATATTGACCTAAGAAATAAAAAAATATTGTTTAATATATTTCTTATTGAATGCCAATTATATTATATTCTATCTATAATCACCTGAAAGATTCTGCCATGTCTTTAGAAAATTTGAAAAAATGTTGCATGTACATATTTTTTATATCCATAATACTTCTTTTAACAATAACATTCATTTGTTCATGCTCTTGTTTTATTTTCTCTAAATCGGGTTGTTTAGTTGGATCTTTAATACCAGTCATTATACTTAATTGCTAAATGAAAAAGAATTGAATAAAAAAATAATTAATTGTTTATAAAATAAACAAGTGTTGCAGTATAGTCGCATTTAACAGAATATTTTTATTAAAATTACGCAATAATTTATAATGATACGTTATTATAACAAATTTAAAAATCGCGCGTAAAAACAGTATACATAAATACACGTGGTGGCGTGATGCGAATCAGACATATTGAGAATTTACAATAAACTTAATATATGATATGTATATATTATACATATTTTAAAAAATATTCAAAAATAATTACAATATATTTATATGAAAAGTGTATTATATAATATAAATAAATGAAAAATAATTTTAAAAGGTTCATAGAAATTAAAGATTCATTTAATATTGTTAATTCACTACATATATATATATATACGTACATATAACTAGGGCTTTTTTATATAAAACTGTCAAATACGAGCATTACTGCGATATTTTTTTATAAATGATCAATTCAAATACGCACATGATACGCAATGCACACAATTGCCGATGGGCGCTCGTTTCTATTTTGCATGATCTGGACCATAAAGCCTGAATTATTACTGATTCAAGAAACGTAGACGTCACTATAAAATCCGACAACGAACGCAGAACAACACTTTTTGTCCTGCTTCGTGCGGTACTAATTTCTAAATTTAGTAATTACTCGTCTACAAATTATTGTTTTCGTCGATTTCGCCAGTCCAATATTAGGACTACTGATCGAACTCAGGGATAATGGTTTCTGCGCGTTCGCAAGTTTATTTATCGACGCGCGCAGTAAACGCGGGTAAAATTTTTAAATTTAAATAAAGTAATGTTCGCGTTAAATATTATAAAAATATAACTTATTTTTTTACGATTATAAAAATTAGAGAAAATATAAAAATTAAACAAATTATCTTGAAAATAACACATCTTAATAGATCTTAATTTTAATCAAACATTCGACTCGTAAATAACTATTTGCATTATTTGTTTCTTCTTTGGTTGAATATTATTAGCGTTTACAGCAATGTCTCGAAGTACAGCTTCTACTGCTTCCTCCCAATCTTGATCTTTCGTATCTCCTCGATTGAGAGAAGTTGACCATTTTAGACGTGGCATTGATATTACTGTTAAGACTTTTCTAAAATTAACAATAATATTACAAAATGTTTATTATTACAACAAATAATTTATATAATATTATTACCTAAGATCTGAATGAAGTGCCGACATATCTCCACCAGCTTGTTCGCCTAACCTGCGAATAGTTTCTGCCAATGGTCCACTAAGCCTCTGCAATCTTCTCCATGATTGAGCATATTGACGTCTTACGAGCTCAATAATAGTGCTTGTCAATGCCAAACCAATCAAGATATAGAGAGTACATAATAATGTATACTTCGGTTTTTCTGTATATAAGTGATGATAGAAAGCATAACTTGTAAATATGTAAAATTTTATAAACATATTACGCGTATACAAATATTAATATATGTATAATATATTTTATTTATATAAAATAAAAAATACCATACAATAGAAATTACATGATATTCTAAAAACTGTTCAAAGTAATTATATGATTTAAATAATATATATTTTAATACTTACTTGGTACTAAATCACCGAATCCTATCGTGGTCATCGTCACGAAACAAAAATAAAATCCATCAAAAAAATTCCAGTCATCTTCCCATAACATAAACATACCTGCCCCACAAGCGAGATACAAAAAAAGCAAGACAATTGCAGCAAATGCTCCTATATAAAGATCACGTACGATAAAATATATATAATCGATTATAATTATTTTTTTTTGATGCAAATATTTATAAATTAATTTATATTATAAAAAATATGATAATGATATAATTATATTATTTCGGATATTTGAATCATGAATATTTGAATATAAAATTAATTACGATTTCAATTATATTAATTTTATGTAATTGAACAAGTTGATTAAACTAACCGAGCGATCGTCTTCCAGCTAAATTCATCGGAATGCAAGAGAAGGAAAAGTGTAACGGAAGTTTTGATTTCATTACCAAAGCGATTTTAACTACACCTTTGGCAAACAGTTTTCCCAAATCAGCTATTACTATTAAAGTCAAAGGTATACCAACGAAAGCAAACAAAATACAGAACATCCTTCCTCCATTAGTTGATGGAACAACATTTCCATATCCTTAAAATAACAAAAAAAGAAAAAAAAATAAATATCAAAATATTAAATACGTATTAAGAAATCATAATATGCAAATATCTTAATAGATATAAATTTAAATCTAAAAATTAGATATTTAATTATTATTCATTATTATTCATTATTATTAATTTACCAATCGTAGTGAGAACAGTGCTTGCAAAAAAAACAGCTTGAAAAATACTCCATCTTTCAATTACAATAGGAGGCAAATCCGTTGTATCTCGATTTTCTTGATCGATCGTATCAGATACAAAAGTGATCAACAAACCGCTTTGTGCTGCCTCCTGGACCACTTGTTCATATTCACGTAATTTCACGCTAACCTGTAAATATTCTTTGTCATTCCATTCTTTATAATTATTCAAAGACTGTTGGTATATTTTCAAAGATCGATTCGATTTTAATCATATTCATAAGATGAATATTTTTTCGAATCAAAATTTAAGGATATCATTGATGCTCAAGATATTGACTTACCAGTCTGCGCAAATTTGACACATCACTATTGTTGGAAACCGAATCAACGAATGAATATCTATGAACGCGTAAATTGGCGCGCAAAGTTTCCAAACGTGATAATTCTGCAGGAAGTTCAATATATCGAAAAACCTGTCAATGAAGATTAATATAATAATTTTTAAATTTAAACGAATTCATATAATATTTTTGTATTCTGATATTATCTTAGTTCTAAATTTTAGAAATGATGTTATTTATTACTAATGATATTTAAGACGCGTGTTTGTAAACCTCTTGAATCTCAAGTAAATCGTTTTTTAATTTCATTTTATGTATTCTGGATGCATGTTTAGTTTACAATTCAATAATATCATTATTTTATCGTTATTAATATCGTTATTTTATTCTATAAAAAAAAATTATCTTATATTAATATATTTTTAATGATAATATATTTTTAATGAATCAATTAATTTAAAAGAATATAATTTAATAATATAATATGTATGTGTGTATATATATATACGCACACACAAATATTTAACAAAAAAAGTTAATCGTACTGTATGTATGATTGGTCAATTGCTAAAAATAAAGATACCACATGGAAATACAGATTCACGTTGTTATTTCTATAAATATTACATTCTATTTAAACTTGCGTAAATAAATGGAAAATAAATGGAAATTTGAGTTCAGATGGATAGTATTTAATAATAATTAATTAAATAACGTTTTTCGTTTAAATATATTTGTATATTTTTTGTATATCATTTTTAAATTATTTATAAGATTTTAACGCGCAATTTTCTCATCATTTGAAAAAAATTGTTATCCATCAATTTATACCTTATATTAGATTTAATATGAAAAAAAATAGTAAAAAGTAAAATAAGTATATGTAATTCATTTTTTTTTTTTACTTTAAAAATATATATATTTAAAATTTAATTTACCAAACCACCAATTGCTGTATAAAGCATTAATGCAATTAAAAGTCCAGCATGACCAGCGATTGATTTAATATTTTGTAAATATTCTTTTCGAGAAAATCTTTTTTCTTCTGTAACTCGTTCAACATTTTCTTGGGTAAACCCCACAGATAAATTTGACTTTTTGATCGACATACTAAACTTAAATGCACACGTTTAGAGAACATGTAACTGCCTTCTATACTCAAGAAGAACTGATTGGTTTCGCCTGAATCTTCTACAATCACATCGGTTATTTCTGTATAGAAGAGCGAAGAAACTGTAGTCATAAAATTTCAGCCAGAATTCATTTTTGTCAAACGAGATAATTATTTTATTAAGTGATATTTAAAATTTGCTCATTATCACATCTTTTTTCATACTTGCATTATATTTATTAAATTCATTCTAATTTATTATAAATTTTATTATATCTATAATATTTTATTTTTTGGACAAACATTTTACAAAAAAAATATTTTAATTAATTTTTGATATTTCGAAATCTTTAATTTTTTTATATCATTTATAATAATTTATTATGATATGTATATTTCTTAAAATTAAAAAATATTTTCCAATTTAAGTTGAATTATGTATATAAATATTATATTAATAATATTATATTGAAACATTATTTTTTAATTATACGTAAATGAAAATTATGTATAATTAGGAAATAAATATAAATATAGATTTTTATAAGAAAGCAATTGCATTCTATGCACAGTCGGTAATGAAGAATTATGATCAGACTATGATTACATTCAAATAAAATTTACAATAACAAAAAAGAATAAAAATTTATATAAAAATAATAGTGAATACTAGATAATTGAAATAATATTTATGATGTTATTTGAAAATAAATATTAAGAGTTGAATAATTAGTTTTTGTGAGTATATCTTATAAATTGTATGTGACAGGTTATAAAATGTTATCAATAACAGTAAAATAAATTTAAAACAAATCAACTATTAAGTAAAAAAAATATGAAAGTGCATAATTTTTAATATTGAGTAACAATATAACAAAAATGTTAAAATTTATAGTTAAAACGTAACGAAAAAATGTGTCGTTTATTACATTAATGAAGCAGTATGCTATTTTACTTTTATTAATTATTATTTAATTGACTATAGTAAATTTTTTATTATTTAACTACATTTTTTTAATATTATATTGATATTTATAATCATAATATTTTGATGAATACCTTTGAAAACAAATTTTTATATTTATCTCAATGTTAATATATTTATTATATATATATGTATATATAATTTTAGATCATGACAGCAGTGAAAGTTCATGGTGGAATTGATATCTTAAGACTTCCTGTAAATCAAGAAGAACATGTATTTCCACCATGGCATATTAAATATACACAATCGCATATACTCCATTCTAAATGTTCCAAAAATGAAAGTGGTTGTGGTGATAAAGATGCTGATGCCTGTCAATTTTGCATGTATATTAAATAAATTTGGTTATTTATAAAATTATAATAAATTCATATTACATAATAAATATTTTTGTAGTTTTAGCCATACTTTAGAACTACCACACATGCCAGATATGGTATTTCCAAACAATATATTGACTTTAAAACATCAGGATGGTGCATTCATACAATTCAATGCATTAGATGCATTAAAAACTGTATCAAATGGAAAAATTAATGTTCAATTAGCATGTGCAGAAGCTTGGAAAGAATCCAGGTAAAAATATATATATTACATTTAATTTACACAAATTTATATATGCTATTATGAATATATATATTAAAAATATAATTTTATGAATATATATATTAAAAATATTATTTTATAAGTAGATCTGATGTTAGTGAATATTTAGAAGAAAAAGTGAAACCATTTGATTGGACATTTACAACCACTTACACTGGTACAATATCTAATTTTGAAATTCAAGAAACTAATGAACGAATTGATGTAGATAAATTAAAAAGAAGGGATAAGATCTTATTCTATCATGATTTAACATTATTTGAAGATGAACTTCATGATAATGGTATTGCAGTTTGTTCTGTAAAAATTGTAAGTTTATGATAGTATAAAAGAAAAATAAATAATTGAATTCATTCTAATTTTATTTACTGATGTCAATAGCGAGTTATGCCAAATAGTTTTTTCATTTTATTGAGATATTTTCTGAGAATTGATGGTGTAATGTTAAGGATAAATGATACGCGGCTTTATCATGAATTTGGTCAAGATTATTTGTTGCGAGAATATACATCAAGAGAAGCAAAAATTGAAGAAATACGTGTAAGCAATTTATAAATATTGTTAAATATTTTTTATAATTATAAATTTTTTATAATTATAAATATTTTTAAATATTGTTATATAATAATTTAAATTAAATTTTAGTAAATACTGATCATAATATTCATTTTTTTTGAGTTAAGATATTAAAATAATTAATATGATTTTATTTCTTTTTTTTTAGGCTCCACCATCACTTTTTATAGAACCAAGCGAAATAGCTCCATATTTGCCTTTAATTGGATATCATTATCATAAATTAATAATTGTTTCACATAAACCAGAACTAGTCATAAATAATAAATTGATTAATGATACAGTAGCTGATAATACTACAGCTACAACTAACATAAATGATATAAATAATTCTGTTACTTAAAATTTGCACTTATATGTAAATATATTACAATTTGAAATAATCTACAATTGAGCATTTATTAAAAGAAGAAAATCCTTATACTTTAAATACAATACAATAATGCAAAAGTTGCTACATAATCATTAGAATAATATAAAACAAAAAAATATAAATTTCTTATTCAATTAATAGATAAAATTTTTTTAATATTAAACATATGAATGAAGCATTCATTAATTTTAAATAAACGCTTTTTGATGGCATATTGAATATCATATTAATTCTTCCTTACTCTACTTCTTAAAAAATATATAGTATTATAATTTATTATTAACTTTCTAAATTTGTATTTTTTTTTATCATTTGGAAAAGGATTCATTTAGATGTTCATCATACCGTTTTCTGACATTATTATAAATCCATGAAAGCAACTTTCTATTATATTGTTGTTCAGTTAAACATATAATTCTAGTTGCAATGAAATTTATTTTCGCATGGCATATATCTGTAAATGTAATTTCTGTTTTCGGTTTATTTTTATGCAAAAAGTCAAGTGTACAATAACCTAATGCATGTATATAATTACAACGTTGTATCTCTTCACCCAATGTCCCATTATTTGTTTCCAATGACCAGTTATATTCAAAAATCTATATAATAAAAGTATATGTTAATATCTTCTTTTTTTCATATATTGTGCTTCAAAACAAATTTTTCTTACTTACAGCCATATCACGTATACTTGTATTAGGAGGATAAAAAAATTTTGGTCTTGGATTTGGAAATTTTTTTGGGCATTTTTGATTTTTTAATATTTTCATGTTTTCTTTTACATTATTTGATAAATTATGATACTTTTTATCAATTTTTCTTCTTAGTGCAACACTTTTTGCAAAAAACTTTTTATCATAAAAAATAGTGATGGTTCCTGTTCCATCATCAACTAAAAAATACTTCTTACAAATATTTATACATGACAAAGTTTTTAAAATTATATATATTATATAAAAATATTAAATGATACTAAAAATTTTGATATTTAGATTATTTTAAATTACCTTGATATCGATAACATTTAGCATCTTCAGAATCACATATTACAAATCCCATTATATTAATTTTTCCTATTCTGATATAAGGCATATTAAGAGGATGAAATTTTATATTTTTACCTTCTAAATAAGGTACGAATCTATTCAATTCACATATTAAAAAGGGTCCATAAACTTTTATTTTATCTAAAATAATTTTTTGTATTTATATAATATATGTGTAATTATGTATTTAAAGTTTAATATATATTGTATTATTTAGATATTATTTAAATATATTTAAATATTATTTATTATAATTTTTAATGTTTTTACATACCTTCTTTGTTTTCAATATTTTTATAATTAATCCATTCTTCTTTTTCGGATAAATATAATGGATAATCATAATCTCCTCTGATTGAAATAAAATCATCTTCAATTTCTTTTGGTAAATCTGTCCAATTAAATAAATCTTCTTCTGACATTTATAAAATATAAAATTTTTTTAATATAAATATTTTTGATATTAGCTTGTTATAAATGTTATAAATGTTGTTATAAATTTTTTAATTATGTAAATTAATAATACTTTTATTTCACTATATCTAATTATCATTTACAAAATTTAACATTAATAGATGTTTTTATTCGCATATAGATTTAATATGTTGTTACGGATTTGGCGGGAGAATTTTATCTGTTACCAATAAGAAAACACTTATTAAGATTGAATCTTTAGTGAATTTCAATATTCGACACTAGCGGGCGTTGATAGTACAATTTAAAAATGTAAAAAATCTAAGCATTGGTTCAATTTTAAGATATATGAAACATATTTAAATATCTAATTAGATGTTAATTTAAAAAAAAGTAAAATGTAATATAAATTGAAATAAAAAAATTAATTCGTTGAAATGTTATTAAACAAAAATAATGTAAAGAAAAGATAAAAAATTAACTATGCAATTTATAATTAAATCATAATCATCATATCATAATGAATCTATAAATAAATAAATAATATAAATAATATAAATAATATAAATTGAAAAATAAATTATAAGTTGAAAAATATAAAATTATAAGAATATTAATATCTTATTGCTAAAACTATAATTAATATTCTTAAATTATATTATAATTATATATATTATATATATTTTATTGTGAAAAATATAAAATTATAAGAATATTGCTAATATCTTATTGCTATAAAACAATAATTAATATTCTTAAATTATTTTATAAAAAAGAATTTAATTTTTTTTTTAAATTTTTTATTTTAAACTTATATTAATGGAAATTTTTCAAATGATAGTAACAAATGATATTAAATATTTCTGAATAACTAAATAATCAAAGAAACAAATACATATTTATTATTTCCTTCGATTGCAATCGTAATTGCTATTACTAGTATTGTATCGCAGACTACCACGGATCAAGTCCCATGTGCATTGTTCCTTTACACATCGTCTGACCTTGGGAAGGTCACGCCTGTTATACGCACCTCACATTCCTCGAATCCCCCGCGTTCCATTCTTCACGAAGGCAAGGTTATTTCGTTAAGCAATAAAGATTGATTTCATGTAGTAATATTTAATTTTTGTGAATTAAATTAAATGAAAGTAAAAATTAATTATTTTCATTCTTAGTTTAAAAATAATTAAAACAAATGAAATAAAAATTGAATATTTTTATAGAAAAACAAAAAAAATTATTTAAGAGTAATTTCCTTGAAATAAATTAAAAATTTACTATTTTTGTTCTTAAAATAATTTATATATATAAATTAACAGAACAAAAATATATTGTAATATTAGAATAAATTATAATTTTTAAAAATTATCAATTTTATTTTTATGCAAATGTATATTATAATTCGTCTTTTTAAAAAAATAATTTACAAGAAATTGCTTTATATATAAATTAATAAAATAAAAATATATAAAAAAATTATAAAATTATAAAATATATAAAAAAATTATAAAATTATAAAATATAAAATAATAAAAATCTCTTTGAATTTATTTCATTAATACTTAATGAAAAAATCAATCGAAAAAAACATCACAGTTTCTAAACATGGCAAGGACAGTCTTTTCTAATTGAAATAAGAAGATAGAAAAAAAAAGAAGCGAATCAATCAATTGATTGGTTTGCATCATGACAATATACTTGTGCAAAAGAAACTTGTGCAAAAATTATTCAATTTCATGACACGAGAAAAAATAAAAAAATTTAGATAGAACTAGTGACGGTGTTGAGATTCTTTCGAAATAATAATTCTTAATTAGAATGAATTATAAATGATTTAAATTAAATAACTATATATATCTATTTTTAAAGTAATTTCTACTTATACATTAAATTTTTTTCATACGATTACTTTTCTAATTACTTTCATTTTTCTATTCATTATAAATTTAAAATATTATTCAAATACAAATTTTATCTATTATTTATATTATTATTATTAAATTATATAAGATAATGTTTATTTTTTATTTTTATATATCAATTATTTAAAAAATTATTAAGAATGAAAATAAAGTCTCATAGTCTTCTTTTATCTATACAGTTTGTCTAATTCTCATTAGTGATGAAGCAACATCCGTTTGCAGAATTCATTATAGCATTTATTACAAATTCAATACCATTAATTCACGAATAGTAATATTGAATTATTGCATATAAGATTGCAACCAATTAACAATGTGGTATGTATTAGATCGAAATTAGATATAGTTTTGCTATATGAATTTTCAATGAATTTTTTTTTCAGAATCTCAGGAAAAAATCAGGAAAATTAGAATACAAATGAATATATTTGTGATATTTAAAATTTATAAAACAAAGTTTTTATTTAATAGAAAACAATGCATGACTTAATTACTTGATAAATAAATAATTTTTAGTTATAAAGGACTTCTTTTAACTTTTTTTTATTTTATAACATATACTTAATAAATATAAACGAAATATATCAATTAAAGTTAAATAATTTTTTAATTCATCTATTCCTAAACTTAATATTTTATAAATGTTCAAAACAATTTTATTAATAATTAGATCGCTAAATCGTTAATAATATATAATATATAATAAATATTTATGTAATGTCGATTTTCAAATTCATCATAAAATTTCTCATCCAGGAAAGGGTGCCAGGATGCCAATACGATATTAATCTAACCTAACTTACGCTAAATATAATTAAATTTTAAATATGCATAATATGTTTTCAAATCAATACAGATTCTAACAGTCAAAACTAGTATATTTCATCAATATTCATCGAATATTATCACAAAATATAAAAAGATACATAGAAAAAAATTCAAAGATACTTCAAAGTTTAACTTAAATAATTGTAAAATCAAACTTTAATAACTTTAATAATGATTTTATAGAAAATTGAATATCAATATATTTATCGGCAAGAAACGAGAATTACATTTTTCAACTCTGTTGAAAGAAATCTCGTGAGGTGGTCGTTCCCATCGCTGAGCATCACCTCGCACGCTACCACGATGCGTAGGTGTTTCCGGCCGGCTGAAGCACGGGCATCTACCCGATCTCTTACAAGCACAAGAACGAAGAAATAGTAAGAGAGAGAATAGAAAGAGAGGAGAAAGAAAAGAAGAAAAAGAAGAAAAAAGAGAGAAAGAGAACGATCAGATGAGAGAGCGGTATGAAGCGAGAGAAGAGCGAGTTGGCGAATAAGAGAACTAGCGAGCAAAGCGAGAAAAATAGAGTCTGCCAGCGGGTGAGCGAGTGGAAAAGCAGGATGCGAGTGGAAGGACGCCCATCGTATACAGAGGGACTGAGAGGAAGGGAGCAAGAGAAAGAGAGAGAAAGAGAGAGAGGGAATACTCGGCCGGAAGCAGTTACTCGTGCGATGTAACGAAAATATCAGCCGTCCGTTTCGCAATCGGCCTACCAGCGTTCGCCGAGTTTAATATAGAACACTCGCACACCCTGTCGCGAAAACATCACGCTAACCCCGCTAACTGCATGCTATCGCATTTATCGCATCAGATCAAATAAAAACCCGTTTCGTCTCTTTCTTATATGCGAATTCAATTAAAACTTCATCTACTATTAGTAATTAGACATTCGCATAAATTATTACACAACAATTTTTTAGGTTAGGGATGTAAGTTGTCAATCTACTTACATATATCTTCAATATTTTTTTTCAAGGTCGTAGATCGAACATTCGAATGTATCAATGAAATTTGATCGATTCCATCGTGATTCCAATGAATCAAGATTAATTTTATATCGAAGTATTTTTTTTTTGTGATTTAAATAAGAATCTGTAATAAGAAGCATTTTTATGCATTTGTCATTTTAAATTCATATTTTTTTTCAAAATCGCGAATGTTAATAAATTTCTATAAACTATCTTTGTGTAAAATAATCTACTACGTTAAATCAGATTTGTATAACGATGCCTCGTAAATTTTTCTCTCTCGTTTTTTTCATAATTCATTTTTCATAAATTTCTTAATTTTTCTATCTATTATCCTGATATTTTTCCTATGAAAAATTTTAGTCTTGTTCATCTAATTTTTTAGTTTTATTTCATCTCTAATTCTATTCATTTCTAATTCATTTCATTTTTATAAGAAATCATATAAATTATATAAATTCATGCAAGTTTACCTCATGAATTCTATGATGAACATTTCGAATGCTTTCGTTTTAATCTTCTATCTTCGATAAATCTCGTAAAAATATTTGGTTACTTCAAATATCATGATCGAAACGTCATTAAAAATCGAAACGTGTTTAAAATTTCTTGAAATTCTCTCTCCATCGATTTTCTTGAAAAGTTTATTGATGATTTGTCCGTGAGTATCATGCACATACTCATTCCATTCTCCTTTCCACCTACTTACCACATATACGAATAATGATCAATATGATGTTGATAGAACGACACTAGAAATATCATGCAATTCTTGGAATATCGCAAGCATTCTACGAACACCTCTCTATCAGTCTCAATTCTTTCCTCGACCGCATTATTGGTTAAGATTTTTACGTTTCCGCGACGATGCGCTTCGAACGCATTCGTACAATGGCTGCTTCTATTTGACTCTCGTTGAGTGGCTTGCTACTCTACGACTTCAACTTGCTACTCTAGTATTCCATGATTTGGTATATTTCTGCGAAAAAAACTATCATAAGAAAATCTGATTTAACATAAATTTGACTATTGTTTATCCGAATGATATGAATGGTACAAATGATATAAATGAATGATATGAATGGTATAAATGGAGACACTTTCTTGTGTCTCGTGTCGAAGTTTGTGGAGTCACGTGATAAGTTTGTGCTTTCTTGTATTAGGTCCATGTTTGTATCACGTGACAAGTTTATCTTTCGCTTGTTTCTTTTTAGTGGTATTGTCATCGTGTCACAAAATCAAACTGAAGACATTATCGTTCATATCGTTATCGGAATGCATCGAGTCGAATGCAATTGAAAATTTCTCTGAGGAAAACTTTCTAAAACACACTTTAATATTACACTTTAATATTTTTGTTGGTCTTTAAAAACAATGTGATAAATATTACATAATATATCTAATGTAAATATTTTTAAGTTGATCTATATATTATAAAATTATTGTGTCATATATACACTTATCCTTGATATAATAATCAAAGGATAGAATTATATTCTTCTTAATTAAAATATTGTTCTTTATGTTTCTTATTTTTTAACATATAATGAAATATTTTAAGTTCTTTTCTTTAAGGTCTAATGCCTTTTTAAATTTTAACAGTACTAGATTTTATTAAACATTACATTAAAATCATTTTCATTTCAATTGTGTTCACTACTATCAATATTATTTAATTTTTTATCACTAATTTGTATCAAAATTTTTCTGAATTATATATAAAATATAAAAAGATTGTTTATTATTTAAAGAAAAGAATTTGAGATATAAAAATTCAAAGATTATAGCAGAATGAGTAAGGTTAGAAAGCTCTCTATGTTTTAGATTATATCTACGATTTCAATCAGATCAAATTTTTTATTTTCCTAAAGATATCAAAAAAAAAACGCTAAATTTAATTTTTATATATTTTTATATATATTGAAACATAAGATATTTCAATTAAGAAGGATAAACTAATTTTATTAAAAAGGAAGTGAAAGGGTTAAAAGATATTTCCAATTTTGACTTCTTCGGACGTGATCGAATCATTCGTAAAGATAAAGCAAAAGGAAGCCAGACCAATCTTTCCTCGTTAATGTGTTCGTTCGTGCGGAGAAGAAGGGATAAATAACTGGAGATAGTGATGGATTCAACACGTTTTGAATCCCTTTGAACTGTTAACAAAGCTTTCATCATTTTAAACGTTAAGCAAAATCGATTTAATTACCAATGTAATTTATTCTTACTTATAAGTATTAATTTCAATTCAATGTACAAATTTCACTAACCAGTTTTAAAAAGATAAAGATTAAAAAGAAAAAAAATAAAAAATTTTTTTTCATATTGTTAAAATTTTGATATTTCAAAAATAATTTTAATATTCCACTAAATTTTTACTTCTGTTTGTATTAAAATTAAATTAAAGTAATAATAATATTGTGATACCTTTTTTTGTATTTGTAATAGTCCATTTAATATTCTAAAGAATATATTATATTCTGACAATTGCTCTCTTCTATGAATTATTAAAAAAACCTATGAATTTATAAATATATTAAAAAATTATTATTCAGTACTGACTATTAAAAGGAGATTTTTATCGAAGTTTTTCATTCAAAAACTTACAGCGGACGGAATTTAATACCCATCGCTAACCGGATGAAGCCAGAGGAAGGAAAAAGGGGGGAACGCGTACAGGTCTCCACATCGAAGGTGGAGTTGAAGGGTGGGGAAAAGGCCACTTCCGGTCACGTGACAACACTGGACCAACCAGCCTGCCTTTCTTCTTATTTTCGGCTCGTTCTCTTTTCTCTTTCTCTTCTGTACCCTTCTCTCATTGGCATCATCTTCTTCTTGATTAACTTGAATCGTCATGAATCGGCTAAGAGCAAATAAAACAGATGATAGAACGTATTTTCTTATTTTTCTTATTATCACAACGAAATAGAATTTTCAATTTATATATGTTTCCATTCATAATCCATTTCTGATTCTCATGATGATCGTATCGTAATAATCTATACAAGAAATTTAATTGCCATCAATATAAATATTTAGAAATCTTGAATTTCACGAAGTTTGTGTTTTTTTTTTTTTTGTTTTATAAAAATTATATATACAGGTTAAAAAAGAGAGCGAAATTCGTGTAAGAAAAAAAGGAAAATAAGAAAATATTTGCTTACTAACTTTATTAACAATTGCCGGTATAAACTTGAATCTACTAACAATTAGATAACAACATGTGCGTCAACGCATTCCTATGGACGTAACGAATTCGCATCAACCGGAAGTAATGGAATTTTTCGTTCTTTTCTATTCTCCTGTTTCTTTTTCTTTTTTTTTCATTTTCTTTTCTGTTTCTTTTGCCATTTATTTTATAGCCATCAAATGTAGAAAGATCGTTCAGTTTGAGGCGAATTTGTATCGATCGTCCATGAGATTTGGGGGGGGGGGATTAATACACCGAATTGATATCTTTCCTTCTGGTATTTTTATACCACGTTATTTTTTTTTTCGTTTTTAATATCGTACGTCCATGTACGTAAGATAATATTTATATCATAATTATGTCGATGCTCTGCAATTACAATTTCCTGAAGATCAGGCTTCGTAAAGGAAACCACACGGTAACGATCCTAATGCGACGAAAGCTCGTTCATTGTAGAAGAGATTGATCAAATCTAAATACGCCGATTTGTCTATTTCTGTTTTCTTTTTTTTTTTATTTATGCGCATTGCTCGTTCTAATGTTTTATATATATATATATTTTTTTTGAATGATTTTAATTCTGATCTCGCGGTAGACTGAATTGTCTTTCTCTCGATCGTTTTTTCCAATCAACGATATATATACGTAAAATACATTTGTGTGTACCACTTTTTTTCTTTTTTTTTTTTTTTTTTTTTGCTAATCTAAGGACTATTTGGAGTGACGGAAAATAATGCAAAAGAGAAAAGAATATATTTCGATTCATCGAAAGTATTTGCATTCGATATTTCGAAAATGACCGCTGCCTAAGTACGATGCGATACTGTGAAACGTCGAAAGAAAGACATAATGATGAACGATACAGAAAAAAAAAAAAGATAGAATGTAAAAGACAAGATGATAAAAACAGAATCGATCGGATTTCTTGTCCTGTGTTACAGCCTCTGCGCATTCAATAAAATGATATTGCAAAGAACGACAGACAAATTTCTAAATTATTCGGGGAATCGAAATAGATCGGAAAGAATTTTGACTGTCCTCAAACTACGGCTTCTAACATGTTAAACAGAAATGCATAAATATATATGTATACATATATATATATACAAGTATATATACGTATGTGTGTATATAAAATATTTATGTGCATATATATACATATACATATATGCATGTATATATATATATATTTACAAGACATATACACACACAGAGCATATAGAGTTAATATTAATAAAAACTTACATTTTTTCTTTTCGCTTGGCGAGACGCGCGCGCGCACACACATCGAACCACACATATACATACAGACGTGTGCGTAGGTACATACAAACATCAATGGGATTGTCGCACATTACTTTCTAATTAACATTGTAGCAAACTTCTTTCCTCTTGCATCGATTCATTCAATCGAATCTTAATAAACATTTAAAAATCCAATTGACTTTTCTCAGCGTCTCTTGTGAAACACTTTCGTTGTTTCTTTTGTTACATGAAATATATTCACAACATGAATATATTTCATGTTGTAATACACTAGTTAGGCTCAAGAATTGACACTTGAAATATAGAAGCTAAGATATAATATTTATTCGTTATACGTCGTTATAAAATCGGAATATGAAATTCTAACCTTATTTTATTTTTGCTAACAAGAATAAATGTAGACAATAAAAACTAATAAAAGACTAAGTGGAATTGAAAGCTTGTATATTTCAAAAAATTTGTTATGTATTATTTCGATATGACATTATGCACTTCACTAAAAAGAATTTGCAATGGTGGGGATAAGACTTAAGGATATAGTATCCGCAACAAAAGTTCGAGTATGTAATGAATAAATGTTGTATAGTTTACTCGCTTGCTCATATGGTATTATATGATTTTATCTGTAGATGGTGACACTTTCGATCAGTATTCTTATTTTTATGATTGTATATTAAATCTTTTAGAAACAACCAATCAAATTCGATTGCCTATTCTTGAGCTTTTAAACTAGTATTACTTATTTACGTAAACAATTCTTGGCTGGTGAAAGGCTAACCCGATCAATGAATTTAAAATTATCAATTACCGATTAATCTCCGTTCTTTATGTACCATGCGTTCTCTTATTCCTTCAACATGGAAGAATAAAGGTATGAATGTAGATACGTTACGATTCATTTGAAGTTCGATCTCTGTCGCCATATTGACTTTTCGATGGTAATAATTTCGTCTCACTTCTCGCTACTTCTTCGCGATGAGCGAAGCCGAACGAGTAGTTTGAAGAATCATTGTTTCGAACAATCGCTTTTCTCGTGACATATTTTCGAACATTTTGATTTCTTCCTTCTCATTCGTACCTTATGAACTTCTAACAATCCTTTCTCGCTGTCGACCTCGTATGCATTTGTGATCAATGACATGTTCAATCACTTGTAACGCTTTCGATATTTAAATATGCAAAAATGAAAAATGATAGTTTTATAAAGTATTTGATTAAAAAAATAATTTCAGATAAAATTTCGACAACGAAACAATCGTACGGTCATAACGATGACGATGTGTGTCCTCGTGGAACATCGACAGCGTGGTACATTCTTCAACGATCAAGCTGCTCGGGAATGGAAAGTTAACACACCTTCGTTCAGTGAATTCCGTCCGCGTGGGAAGCGCTGTTACCGTGCAATTAAACGCCGTTGCGGGCTGCAGTAGCAGCTCCAACACCAAAGAATCTCAAAGGCGTTAATTATTTTCTAAATCTTGCCTGAGAAGTAGACTTGAACTAATGAGGAAAACGATTATCCCTGTATATATGTTAAGTCAACATTTGTTAAGAGAAAAAAAAAAAAAAAAAAAAGAAAAGGAAAAGAAAAGGAAAAAAGAGAAAAGAAGAAAAAGATCCAGTTAACGCGAATTTCCTTCGTCCAAATCCATTCTCCTTGTAAAGCAGAGAGCGGAGCCAATAACAGCAACATCAGTTTAGCAATCACCACGCATGCATGTATCGCTTTTGTCATTCTCCCGTTCCCTAACGAAACGATATTTAATTAAACTCGCACGACTAGATAATACTGGAAAAAAAAAAAAAAAAAAAAGAAAATTAACAAAATGGAAACGACGCCCGAATGTGGTATACTATATACGTACATAGAAGAGATTTCAGGCGTGCGTTGCTCTTTCTCCCCACTCCCTCCTCCTGATCTGTGTTTTCTTCTCCTCACGCTTATGCCCCCCACGCAATTGTCCTTTTTCCATCTGCCCGCATTCTCGTCGACCCCATGAAGCACACCCACATACGCATACATACTTAACATACACACATAAACGCAAACGTTCATTCTTACAGATTTACAGTTCTCTCGCTCTCACGCAACCCGAACGCGCGTGCATTATCTCGATCTCGTGTCATATCACGCTCTCTAACGCTCGACAGGGCCTCGCGCGCTCGATACAATTCCAGTGTTAACGAGTATAAAAGCGTATACATCATATGCCGAGGAAAACATTCGGAAATACGGACAATGCTTCTTTTCAGAGCTTTCTTTCCCCCTGCCCCGCCCTTTCCTGCTTTCTTTCCCTCTTTCTTCCTCTTTACGGCCGATATTCTTTATGCGTTTCCTATCGCTATGGTAAGAGACTGGAAATAATTTTTGCAAATAATCCAGTCGCGGCCTTCTCGCCTCTTTTCTCCTTGTCGTGCTCCTCTTACTGCGAAACTTTATATATGTGTTACTTGGCAATTCAGCCACGAATAAATTAACCGTAGAAAAGATTTTTCTTTATACAAATATAATATACAATATACATATCTATAATCTAGGTGTAGATGCGCATACACGCGCTTCAAGCAAAGTAACAGCAGAAACGCGTGTATACGCGCATACACGTGCTCGCGTTTAATATACTTTAGTGGTTCTTCTATTCACTCTCTCACTCTCTCATTCACGTTCCACACATTCGCTTGGTCACGCTCGCACTTGTTCTCTGTGTGTGCGCGGTACTATTTATATATTCTATCATGTATAGACCTATCTATACGTAAGTGGTATGTTTCTGCGTTAATACGCAAGCTCGCGTACCTTGTCATCTTTCTCGCCCTTTCTCCGCTATCTTTCTATCATCTTTCCTACGCCACTATATCCTTTAGCATCATCTCCCTCCCCCGTGACACGATCTCGCGTTCTTCCATTCGTTCTTTCTTTCTTGCTCTCTCAATCTCTCTCGCTCGCTTCGCATTTTCGCGCGCGCATGGAAGAATAATAAATAAAACACTCGCGACGTTAGACGTACAAATTCGTCATTCTCGATTATCGTTTCTCGACTTAAATGCAACTCTTGTACTTAATGCAATTTTCATTTTGCTCCCTCTCCTGTCGGATAATCTCTATGCGTAGAAGAGCAATTTTGTATCCCCCCCTACGTGAGAGATAACACTGCGGGTGTTGGTATTACTGTTGTATCTCTTCCAATTAGAGTTCCGGCGTGACAGGGTCGAGTAACCTTTTTTCCGGATCCCTCGAATCCCCGATATCATTCGCGATCGGATGATGTCTGTTTCCGGCGTTCCCAGTCGTGTTCGGATTACATCTGCATCCCTGGGCTGCGTGCCGAGCATAACACACCTCACAGGCCGCGACACATCCTTTGAACGGCCAGTAGCACAATAAGCAGGGCATGACGAGAGTTAAGGCGCCAAGGCAGGCCCACCTGGAGACTCTCCTATTTCCCGTACAGGAGCACGGCTCGTCCGCACAACTAGCAGCCGCCTCCCCATCGATTCCACCTGACCCATTCCCGTCTACGCAATGATAAAACAGTCCCTTCACGCAGCACAGGCAAGAAGCGTAATCGAGAATCGTATCGGCGGAACAGAAACACTTGTTGTCGCACAGCCATTTGCTGGGCAATGGAGGCGGTTCCCGACAAGACTCGCAACGACATCTACCGCAGAAATTGCACATTATCGACAAACCGGCCGGATCATAAGTCCTAGAAGCGAGGCTATTGGCCGGTTCTTTGGTGAACGAAACCGGCTGCTTGGTCACCGCATTCGGTGTCGCGGTGTTCGCGGCGATCGAGCCTGCGGACGCGGTCGCATTCGTCCCACTGCTCGCAATCAATCCACGAAACGCTTGAGTCCTGCTCGCGTGCAGCCGATGCGTCGCCGCGACGGACGCATCACCACCTTTCTGTCGATGCCTCCTGTCGATTTTCGGGCAATCGGCACCGATCCCCCGTTTGTTCTCATCCTCGAAGACTCGTCGCTCCTGTTGGTTGCTATGTTTGAATGGTGCCTCGACGTATTCGTTGATAGCCCTCTCTCCGTCTGGCCTGGGCACGGTCAGACTTACTTCGCTTATAGGACTTCTAGGTGGCGTGTCGTTCGATACCAATCCTCGAGCATTCGTCTCGCTCGTCGAAGTATCCACGTTTCTCGGTCTGCTTCGGAAGGTGTTCGAGAGTGGACTGAGCGGAGCTGTGACCAATACTCTCGGATTCGACGATGCTGTGAGAGGGGGCGCTGTCGAGGCAGTGGCAACATGCACGCTCGGCAATCTCGGCGGAGGAAACGGCCGATTGTGATCATGGACGCGACCAGTGGTGGTGACATTTTGCTGTTGAACGGAATGCGCTTCTCCATCGTCATTGCTGTTCGCTACGGCATCGGTGGTGTCATTTATATTCGTCTGCGAGGAGGGTGGCCGCGAGAGCGGCGTAATCGCATTGTTTTGCGACATCGGCCGACCTCTCAGTTCAAGATGCTCGGCTTGACAATGCGCAGCTGTGTCCACGCAACGCTTTCGGTGCTCCTCCTTCTTCTTCGCCTCCAGCTCTTCTTCCTCCTGCCAGTGATTCGTGAAATGGATACCGTTACCGATCTCTGTGCTTCTTTCTGCTCCTCTTCCGTCACCTCCACCTCCGCCTCCTGGCCTAACTCGACTCGACGACGAGAAAACTCTTCTAGACGATCCTGTTCCCGGTCTCCTTGTTGTTTCTGGCGAGGATGGTGATGCGGAACGACCAACCGACAAAACCGACGATGTTGCCCGCTCGCTAGCCCATTGTTCGACTGCTCTCGGTGTGCTTGGACTCGAGGTATGCTGATTCTGGTGGTGGTGATGTTGTTGTTGTTGTTGCTGCTGATAATGAATTGATTGACTCGGGGTAGTAAGTGTCGCCTCGTTGATCCGCACTGGCCAGCCCGCGCGAGGTGGTGACACTCTCGACAAGGGCGTTCCATTAGCGAGGATGAGGCTCGGTAATGCTCCGCGTCCGCTTCCTCTCGCCCTCGCGACACGCGCTTCATCCCCACCTGAAACGATACCAGATCCGTCAGTCTTTCTTTCCCGTCCCTTTCTTCGTTTCCTCATCCGAATTGAACAAATCGTTCTCGCTTTCGTTCAAAAGTGAAAATCAAATCTAAATGTTCAGTTTATAGAATGTAATATTATTTTACATCATTTTTACAAAACTTTTAAGCGGTAAAAGTTCGCTAAATGCATATAAGAATCATTTCGTAATGCTTATTGTGTAATACGAGGAAATACGATTCTCCAAGCCTTTCCTATTTTATCGAAAAGCAGAAAAGAATAAGGAGTTTTAAAAAAATAGAAATTTTTTTATTTTGAAATGAGGATTGAATACGATATAATTGAATATGTAATTCGATTGATATTTATTTATTTAATTAGTGTTGATAATTAATTTTCGAATGATAAACAAAATTTCTTAAATTTCTGCATTAACTTTATTAATATTGATTTTGGCATATAAAAACTTCTCATTTAATTGATTCAAGAGAATGAATTTCTAAGTAATGGAGATAAAGATATGTATATAATTTAATTATAATTCATAAGATATTAAATTTTATACGTAACACTATCTATCAAACGTAACTTTATCTTTCTATTCATTTCGTGTCGGATACAATCTTATAAGTTAACCTAACTTTCAGTCGGAACTTATGCACAAGATACAAGGCATGATTGTTTCTATCCTGCGTAAACCACGGAGAATAGGTAAGTGGAGGAAGGGATTTGAATGAACAGAGTCGAAAACGATATTCGGATCACACTAAAAGAGACACGAAGAATGTACGCGGCACTACCTACGTAGCTTCGAGATAGGATTGGTCTACGTGGGCGAGTGCGCCGCTCGTGGGCGCTCGTGGCCTGAGCGTACTGTGGTTCTTGATTCAGTGGTCATCGGCCCACTCGAAGCGCCTACAGTTGTGGAAGAATCGAGCGTTTTGTTCAGCCGAGATCAATCGTGTCCTCGTCTACGCATCTACGCTTTGTGACAGCACGATTTACATCCGATTAGCCAATTAATTATTTCCATAAGAACATTTAGGAATATCGAATCAAGGAAAAATAGGATGAATGAAACGTTAAACAAATTTTTTTTTCAATAACAAGAGAAAATCTGAAATGGGTTTAGAATTAAAACGAGAATTTTTGTTAAAAGGAAATATTTCATTCATCAATAAAAATAAGATTCTTCCAAAATATCGAAAAATATATATCAATTTTAATTATGAAGTATTAAGTGTTTCGTCTCATCGAAATTAGATAGTGATCTAATAACGACATCTACTGATTTAAAATGTAAGCACAAGTCACGTGACTTTTGTGATTCTTGGTATCTAGAATCTTCTTCCTTCTCATCATTGCAATCAAATCATTGCAGATATGCTACTTAAATTTTCTGTGCAATGAAGATTTAATATATTATTATCTTTATTCCTGATATTTTATTTTAAAGACCAAAATATAAACTAAATTATACTATTTTAACTAAATTCGTCCAATTAAAAACTGATGCATGGATTTGACTATAATATATAATATATAATATATATATAATATATAATATATAATATATATAATCACGAACTAACACATACTGTTGAATTTAGACGTATATCGATCGTAAATCGTATTTCTTATTTTACAAAAACAAAAATAATTCGTTTTATCCATTTTACAGTTATTTTATTGTATTTTTTTCACATTTTTTCTTATTCATTGAATTATATTCTCGAAAAACTATCGCGAAATTGCGGAAAGCTGATGATATTAAATCTGGCTGGGTAATACGTTCAATGTGCTCCGACCCACTCTTGAGGGGCATACAGGATTGGAAGAAACGACGTTTGCCCGCACAAGACCATTCTCGCGACCTACACGCATCTCAACGTGTAAGATATACAATACGTCTCGTGCAACGATGCTTTTTACCTTGCAATTTAATCCTTGCTGTATAAACACATTTATGGTATTTTTAAAATGTAAACGTGAGTCTTCCATGCTCGATGCATTTTTTAGCGATAGTGATAATAATTTTTAGAAGAATCTGAAAAAATTTCTGTGCGTGTCCTCAAATATATTATATATATTTTTAAACAGGGAGACTTGTTAAGAAGTTTGTAAAAATGTATTTATACTAAATTGAAAATTGGATTAAAAAATATTATTTATTAATGATCCTTCAGTCTTGTAAGATCTATGTGACTTTTTTTACTATTAAATATTTTTCATTTTGTAAAAGGATAATGAAAAATAAATAAAATAATTAATATTCTTATATAATGAGTTTTTTTATAACTGAAAGAAAAAAGGGAGGTCAAAAAATGGACTTATAACAAATGTCATCCGTTGATGATTTCACTATTCGCCTTCGGAAAGTAGGTTTTGTTCAAAATTTAGTGTATAAATGAAATCAAAAATAAAATGATAAAAAGATGATAAAATTATTTAGAATTATTAATAATATATACAATAAAAAATAAAACAAATAAAATTAAATAGCTTTGAAAATTGTATTCATACACTTCTCAATTTTATATTAAAAATTCACTTTCAGACGCTTCATTTTAACTCCTATATTCGAAAAATAAATACACCAAATTTCATTTTGAATATTTTCGTATGAAAATATTTTTGTCACAAAAATGCGTTAATCTTTAATCATCCTTTTTTTTTTTAGAAGCAAAATTAAATACCAAATTTAAACGACGAAGGTTATCTATTAATCTACCGAATGTCAAATTGATGTGAGAAAAAGAACGAACAAGATTATCGGTAAACATTGTATCAATTAAAACGAACCTCCTTTAATGAAACATTAATGAAACTTCTAATAATAATCCTCGCTCCGTATAAAAATTATATATGCTCCCCTATCCACGAATAACGCTTGCTCTCACTCACCCATAGTCATGTCTCGAACCAAGTATCGCGATGTAGGAGATAGTGAACAATCGAGAGGATTCGAGGAAACGTATTGTGGCGCGACTCACACGTGGTGTGAACACCCACGGAAACACGCACACACGCGAAAACGAGCGAAGGACGCGTTCGTGAAAAAGAGAAGAAAAAAAAAAAAAAAAAAGAAAAAAAAAATAGCCAGGACGATTCAGAGGGTGGACTCTGAGAAGAGAGGAATGCGCGCGGCCTATCACCGACCGACTGGCATAGGTCAGAGCTTTTAGTCGCTCTATACCGACCAAACGCAGATAAGAGACGTTTTGTGAGTTTGTGCATACCCGGTGAGCGGTCGGCTCTCTCCCTCTCTTCCTTCCTCTAACCGACAAAAAGGCATTTCTTTTCAGGTTTCCCTCGTGCATACCTCTGCGTCAAGAGATAGAGACTCATCTGCTAATGGATTTCTGGAACCAACCGAACTTCCACTACTACTACCGTGGACGATAACGCGGGACGAATTTTCATTGAAAACCGAGGTAACCGAGAGGGTGAAAGGGAGAGAAATTCATTTTGTCACGGTACGAGACATGTATAATCCCGTGCAACGTAACGTGGGTTAATCTGGACGAATAATAATAATAATAATAATAACGCGTGCTTTTCAAGTAATGAAAAAAAAAAAGTAAGTCGAGAATCAATTTATAATGAATCACGTTATTACGGAAGAGGATTCGGGGAATAAATCGCGTAATTGTGACGCGGTGATTGTTCCGGCAATATTAACGCGTGCACGATCATCGTGATTACGATAATGACCATGATACGTCGAATATTTAACCGATTATCGCACCCCGTCGCTTCGTGATCCGTTCGACATTCCATTTCTCATTCTTCTGATCGAGTGTGCAACGATTTATCGTAGAAAACGCATTTGTTCGCAAATTGAATGCCACGAGAGATGAGATATTAAAAAAAAAAAAAAAAAATGATAGAAAAAATGCGTACACTGTTTTATATCTCTTATAGGAACGTGTATATAGGGAAAAAAAGAAAAATTCGGTATGTTTAATAATAATGATAAATTGAATTTAACTGAAAAATATATAAAGTATCTAAATTTAACAATAAAATTCCTATAAATATTCGTAATCTAATGATAATGATAAAAAATAAAATTTGACTTTTATAATAATTTAAATACATCTCGAATTATGAATTATATATCTTCAACAGGATGTTAGAAATAAAATTCGTATAAATATCATCCGTAAAAAAATAGAATTTTTAAACGAGGTTCCGGTCCAGATATGTTTTAATAACGTGCCGGAAATGTCCGCGATAAGATCGGACGTATTTCCTTGCCATGCACATATATGTATATTTCCGTCCAATAAAATTATTTTTTGCCAACTCGACATCATACGAGACGACAAATTTTTTTCAATTATATATCATTTAATTTCAGAAGAATACTTGTGCATGTACGAAATAAACATCTAATTTATAAATTTCTTTCGATAAATATTTATAATCTTGATATCCCTTTACGATGATAATTGCATAAAAATAAAAATAATAATAATAAAAAAAAATAGAAACGAAAATGATCTGTCGACTTACTGAAAATTCATGGGACTAGTGAAAATCCAGAAAAGAAGGTGGGCTCGCCCACGCCAGGGCCGATAGAATCCTTCTAAAGCGTGTCTGTTAGTCAGAATGACGCACGCGCACCAACACGATGCCTTCGGAAAGGCGATTCCGTTCGAATGGTTGAACGGATCTAGGAACGTCCTCGAATTCCACCGGACGGCAGCTGTTTATCACCCTCTCATCGGTCACGTCGTGCTGCTCTCATTTCCCGGTCGTTAATATTTCAACCATGAGCCTCTCCTTGTCGCTGATATTTAACGACGAGAATGGAGTAACACGTTACGATCGCCAACAAATTCGGATAAATATCATGAAAAAATGATTTTCTATCGTATATTATATTTCCATCGGACGCCTTTCACTTAACGACACCGAGAAACGAGGATTTACTTTCTACGAAAAAAAAAGTTTTAGTTTCACTTGAATCGCAGTCTTTCAATTTATCGATCGTTTA